AACTCTTGTGTTAGTGTGTTGATTCTAGCTAGCTTAACATCATTAGTCCCCTCATGGGAGACTTGTAATGAGTTCCACATAGCTTTTGCCGTAAGACAAAGAGAAACCCGATAATATTCATCAACTCCTAATGAGGAGATCAAAATATTCTTGGCTTTCCAATCATAGTTATACTTCTTTTCATCATCATTAGTCCATTGTGCTTCGGGCTTAGGCACAATCTCATTATTTTCATTGGTCATGGTTATTTCCATTGGACCATTGATAATAACATTCTATACTTTTCTATCTATGGAATTTATGTGCACCCGCATACAGTCCTTCCAATAACTGTAATTTTCTCCATTAAAAACGGAAGCTCTATTATAAGCCCCTTTAGGTTCATTTGCCATTTTCTATCAAAGTTATACTTGAAGCACGGAGTGAACCGGTGCTCCTGATACCACTTGTTAGACGATGACTTGAATCTAGAAGGGGGTTGAATAGATCCCAATTAAAAATCAGTCGGCGCTACCAATTAAAAATTGGTTTTAAAAATATTTGTTTTGCGGAAGCGGCCGTGGAAAAATTACCGTCTAAAACGAACTGTTATTAGAAGACCGGATATGCGTCTAGCCTTATGGAAGTGATAATGAGCAAAAAAATAGATTCAACACACTAGTCACACTAATCAATTGATTTTACCACTAATAAGTAGGACTAGTTCCAATGCTCCACAATTACCACAAAATATGCAAATAATCCAAGTGAATTTTGGTTTAGGCAATTTATCAAACACTTGGTGTGCGAGACACTCCAAGTGAATTTTTGACTTGAGTAAGTAACTCCAAATTCCTTGTACAATCTATTATTGTACTAGAGTTCAAAACAGTGAAAACCACTTACTCAATTCAATGCAAATGTTGATGGAATTGCTTAAACTAAAATTACTCAAATTCTAAAGCCAAAATGAAAGTGCTGAAAAAATAAAGGAGACAAAGATTTGTTGAGGCAGTTCCCCCGCCGTCCTCGCTTCGGGGTACGTCTGCCCTCAATTCTAAATCTAGAATTGAGATCAATATAATAGATATCACCTGTAGAGTTGAAGTGTTTATACAAGGATAGATAAGCAAAATATACAAACAAGTTCTCTTGATGTTGATGATGCTTTTCTCTCCTTGTTCCTTGATTCGAGTCGAATCAAGTTCTTCGATCGTTGTGAGTAGACCTCCTATTCCAGCCCCTTTGTTGAACAACCTTTCGTTCTTCAAACCCTCGGCCCGACTGATCTCAATCACACACAAATCAAACCCGGAACTTTCTTGCACACTTCACTGATTCCCGCTACTAGACTGATGAAACCTTCTGCTTCTCAATCACCTTTACCCAGCTGAAGTTGGTAAAGACGATCCGTACCCAAAAACCCCCAAATTTTTCGAATCTTGTAGGGTTTTCAAGAAAAACCTGCTACAAACTCAACCCGAACCGGATTCCTAATCAACGGCTTCGGACCTTATCACCTTGAACGAGACACAAACCACATCAAGAATTGTTGTGTGTAATTGTTGTGTTGTGAATTGTTGAGGATGAAGATGAAGAGATTTGGTAGCACCTGTTTCACTTTTCTTGTTTCTTGCACAATTGACTCAAAATCTCAATTGTTTTTGTTAAAAAAGAACAAACCTTCTATATATAGTAACCAACCAACCAACACACTTAACAGCTTTTCAACCAAAGTAGAAAGACTTCACTAACTGCACAAACGCGCGAACGGTCAACCATAGCAGAACTATGCGTCGACGCATAGCCTGCAGTTTTAGGCAATTTGAAAAGTCTTGACTGCATGCGTCGACCATAGGTCGGCGTGCGCCGACCAGTGAGGAATTGCGCTGCTTCATGCGCTGACCCTGTGGTCGACCATAGGTCAGCGTGCGCCGACTAGTGGGAGATTGTACTGCTTCATGCGCCGACCTGTGGTCGACTCAAAGCCTGCAAAATTGTAAAAATGCATATCTTTGTGATTTTAATGCATCTAAACATAACCAATGATCTTCCACATATATTGAATTGAATATGCCAAGTTAGAAGGATATAAGAAGGATATGAGAGGTGAAATATTGCATTTGTCTTGTAGATGTAGAGTCGATAAACCTGATTCATCCATGGTTGTGTTTTGTCATCATCGAAACTCAAGACCATATGTTACATGAGGGTTTGTCCTCACAACCTTTAGAAGAAAATGCCAACAATATAAAAATTATCCCATGAAAGAAAAGAGGAGACTAACTACTCACTATTTCGAAAAACTCTGGAAAGAGGACCAGAAGCAAAGGGAAGACAAATTACTCATTGTTTCGAAAAGGGGAGACTAACTACTTACTATTTCTAAAAAACTCTAGAAAAACTCTTAAAAGTCGTAGAAATTCAACATGCATGACAAGTGCCAATGAACAAAATCATATGAACTTGATCCGAAGCTGAAACAAGGAAGCTCGCTAAGAAAGGTAATGGAGAAAGCATGAAGAACTCTTTTACAAGTTACTAACGGGAAGAAAAAAAAGGTCAAAATGATGCTTCAGAAACCCTTTACGTCATATTCAATTGCTAAGGATCATACAATCCATCGCGCACCATCAATTGTTGAGATATCCTTGAAAAATTGTTCGAAGTGCTCGAGTGATCTAAAGAAGAAGTGTCATTACTAACTAGTATAGGGACACGCATCAGTCGTGCCCTACGAAATGTAACATATTACAATAATGGCATTTAATGCACCTAACGAAATGTAGCATATTACAATTATGGCATTTAATGCACATATTCCCAAGGGTGATGGCGTCCCATCAAAGGCCTTCGCATCCCTAAATTCAATGGTAGGGTAGAGGCATGTGTTACAAACCTTCATCTTGCAAACCAAAAACAAGGGCTTGAGGGCAATTGTTTTGAATCGCTCACAGTGCCCAAAAGGCAAAGGCTCGATAACAAAGTAAAAGGGGTAAAGTGCAAAACATGTAGTATGTTTTTCCCTTTTAAGTAGGCAGTTCCACACAGGAAAACTTTGTTAGTCATCCTGATCAATCTGACAGGTGACCATGATTCACGCTTTTAGTTGCCAATTGTTTTTTCTATTTATAAGGGAAAAATGCAATTTTTCAAGTATTCAAATTCATTTTCATTCTCATACTGACTTGAGCGTTGGAGTGTTAATTTTACAGGTCAGTCCTCTCTCTACCGCATCAGGAACTCAGGACCACCGCAACAAACTTTGCATCCTCATTCAACGATCAACTCTGATTTCACTACACGGAACATTTTTCACGTAAAACAAACAAACAAAAACTACTCATCAATTTTTTAATAAAAAGATTAAAATAATCAAATGTTTCATATGTATTGCACGGTTTTTAGAGGCATTATAAAAATCAATGAATGAATTAAATCTTTTCAACTATTTAATCACCCTTAAAAGTCTCTAATAGTTAATCAATACCCAAAGGCCCCAAATACTTTGTATTATTCCACTATTTGTTGTTTAGAGATTTACAAGGGACACTTTTTGCATTTACAATACGTCGCCCTTATCAACCGTGACTGTGCAGCCACTCTCTCTCTCTCTCTCTCTCTTGCTGCTTTGCCTTTAACTAAAACCTAGTCAGACAGTACTTTTGACTTTGATTAAATTGAAACTTGAGCAATGAAAAGGAACAATAAGATCATTTCCCACATGGTTTGTTTGTCCCACCCATGTTGTCGACATACCATATACATTAAACAAGGCCTGCATATGACTAGACATTTACACTAGTACAATGCACAATCTGTGGAAAAGAAATAGCCAAGAACCAAAATAGGTTTTTCGGTCCTACTCTGCTGAATTTCATCTCATGCTTAAGGTTAATATCAATCTATTAGGAGTAAATTTCTCATTCACCTCACTCAAAAATTAACTTGAACTTTATAGAGTGTTTTAGAGTACTTGCAAATGCAACATATGATAAGATCGAAGCTAGGAATTATGTTGAAATATTTTAAAGTAAAAATTATTTTCACTTATAAGTATACTAAATATTAGATCTAGAATTCTTAACACACTCATTCACGTTCAGGATTAGACATTTAGAACATGAAAATAAATAGTGGGTAATCTAATAGCAGAAATTTAACTCACTAAACCTTAAATCAAGCTCTAATATTATGTTAAGAATTGTTGTTGAGTCTAAATCATCCTTATAAAACTGGATTGTAAGGCGACAATTGTCTCTGTTTATTAACACAAATTCACATCGTATATTGTTCGATGTAATTTTTGCTGACCAAAGAAAACATATTTGATTTTGGCATAAATCTTAGCTCATCCACCAGCTTTAGATAGTTGGTAGAGATATAGATGCTCAAAAGCTCACCGTCAGTCCACACAATACCGCCTGACCTCATCCAAATTAAAGCAAAGCCATCATCTTTTTTTCTGTCCCCTTATCCCTCTTTTACTTGCAAGACTCAAAATCTTTCAACAATAGAAATTTTCCAAAATAGTAACTTTACATTGAAACAAAACGTTAATCTGTTCCATTACAAAAGTTAAAATCCTGCACTGAAATTGATAACTACCCTCCAACACATGGTTTGTGCAATAACCAGTATGGAATCCAAAGCAAAAGTCTTTAGTTGAGGAACACCAACCTAGAATCACATGTGAAGGATATGCATGTGTTCCAGTATTTGTCATGCACAGGACTTAGTGGAACATATATATTTAGCGATGATGCAATAAAAGCATATTCTCCATATTGTTATCCGACAAGATATTTTCTTTTTTCAAACAGATTCTTAACAACAAAGTAACATCTTTTGTTTTCTTTATCATATCATTACAGCTTGGCCCTCTTTCTTTTTTGACAACTTTTTCTCTCCTTCCCACTCATCATCTTTATCTAAAGCTCTTTGCTATGTCTTTAAAACACAGCTCCTGTATATATCAATCGCACTGATATCCAAACCAGATCATTACACACTCTCTGATAATGGCCATGGAAGCTTCTTTCTTCCTCTTGTTCATCTCTTCTCTCTTAATTTCATGTTCTGGTAAGTACTTATCACTTATAAATGGTAAAACTAACAAATAGGTTCTAACACTCTATTCTGTCACTCATTGCAGGATCTTTGGTGGGTTTTTCCTATCATGAGAGAGGAGACACTTGGAAATCATTTCTTCAGCCGAGCAAAGTTTCTTCGTCTCAGATTCGAGTTTTCGTCACAGATCATAGAATTTTGAGCACTCTTACCAACTCAAACATGTTAGTTGATCTATACTTAAGCAAAAGCCAAGTTGAAAATTTCATTACTTCAAAACCTTCAGCGACTTCTGAGATAAAAGCTCTACTTGTAAATTTTCTACCACGTTTGAACATTAAAAGCATCGTTGTTAGCTGTGGAAGTGAGTGTTTACTCCAAAATGAGATACCTTTGATTATGAATGCTCTTGAATCAATCCATTCAATTCTCAAAGATCTTCACATTAGTAATGAAGTAAAACTCTCGGTAGCATTTCCACTTCAGTTCTTAACGAAGATGAATCCATCACAAGAACGTGAAACTCGTAAGCTACTTTCATTTATAAAGGAAACAGAATCGTTTGTGACATTAGAAGACGCCATTGATGGAGAATTAAGCATGGAGAATCATTTTGTTCAAACTGTTATCAAGCAAGCCGCACATGCTGCTTCTGTTCTTCCTTGCAAAGATGTTCCTGTGGTACTAACAATCAAGAGTTTAGTTATACCGAGTTCGATAGAATTAGCCGAATTTAGCAAAAGAGTATCTAAATATTTAGCAGCAAGAAGACCTATTGCAAAAAGAATAGCTGCATTATACGTAGAACTGCATACGACAGAAGACTTTTCAATGAAAGAGCTCAAAAGGGAAGAAGATAGAGAAATTTTCCCATTGTCTAGAAGAGAGCTCATAAGCAAATTACACAGAAGGAAAACTCTAGATGGCACAAACAGTCCAACAAACACAGTTTACCCTACGAATCCAACACCAAATCCAACACCAGTGATCACACCCTCAGATACACCAACCATCATAGCGGTTCCTTCCACAAATCCTGTCACGATTTCCCCTACAAATCCAGCTGCAATGCCTGTAACGGTTCCTTCTACTACACCTGCCGTTCCTTCTACTACACCTGCTGTTCCTTTGCCTCCAACAAATCCAACCAATTCACCGGTTCCGGTCTTCAATCCAGCTACAACACCTTCAACAGTTCCAGGTGCACAACCAGTAACCAACCCTGTAACGTCTTATCCACCTCCATCTGGAAGTGTTCCTGTTCCTGTCATAAACCCTCCTTCAAACACAAATGCTCCTTCCGTTCAGGGACAGAGTTGGTGTGTGGCAAAAGCTGGTGCTCCACAAGCCTCCCTTCAATCAGCATTGGATTATGCTTGTGGAATGGGTGCTGATTGTTCTCAGATACAGCAGGGTGGGAGTTGTTTCAGTCCAGTCACATTGCAGAGTCATGCTTCTTTTGCTTTCAATAGTTACTATCAAAAGAATCCAGCTCCAACAAGCTGCGACTTTGGAGGCGCTGCCACCTTAATTAACACAAATCCAAGTAAGACCTTAACATTTTAATAACCCTTGTTTTTCTTTTTCTTTCATTCTCATGCTTCAAAATATTGATGACCATTTTTAATAGGTTCTGGCTCTTGCATTTTTACATCATCATCGTCGTCATCCTCAACGCCAATGATATCATCCCCAACACCACCTACACAATCAACTCCAACTTCAATACCACCACCAAGTCCAATAACAACTGCACCATCTATTACAACAATGGCTCCACCATCTATTCCAACAATAGCTCCACCATCAACTCAAACAGCTCCATCATCAATTCCAACTGCTCCACCAACATCTTCAGGATCAGGAACAGGCACTTTCGGGTAAGTGAGATGGCACGTTTTTCACTTTTAATAATTATATTGTTGCACCAATAAGCCTATACTTATCAAGGTTCTCTATAATGCTACCTTTTGTAGCTATGGTACTCCACCTTCCGTGTTAAATTCAAGCAGCCCAGATTCAGGTGCAATGCCAGATTTTGGGTCCGATAGCCCTCCTGTTGTAAACACAACATCTGCCTCACACCCTCGAGCTCTAAAATCTTTTACTGGCTGCATAATTTTGATGATTCCGTTTGTCACTGCCAGACTCAGCATGCTACCATAGTGTTTAGAAACAGGTTTTCCATTCAAATCATCATACTATTACTATAGACATTTGTTAAAGATGTGTTGCAACATTACATGCTGCAGTGTTAAGGTCTATAGGTGCAGAAAGACAGTAGGGTAACAGAGGAAGAAAAAAGTGTGTTCATCCATGTGCTGCTTTTTTAGGTTGTACAATATATTATGGTAAATATTGGTCATGTACATAGATATTTTGAGAGCTTAGGTAGTTTTCTTTTGTTTTTATTTTTTTTCTAAGGTACCATCTTGGTCTATGTAGTTCCGTGTAAATTGTCAGCGTTGCTATAATTTGAGGTCCTATCAAGATTCAGATGGATAAAAATTGTATCAAATGATGTGGTCTTCTTTAGACTGATAGAGATGCTTCTATATGCACATGACACCTACATGTATCTTAATCCAATATCAGATGTTGCTTCAAAAGTAAGAATCAATTGAATTATCAATGGAAATAACAAGAAAGCGCCGATGGCTACCAGCTACCAAACACCTTGACTTTTTAACTAACTCGTGTGAAAAGCTTTGAAAGCATATACATCACTAAATGGCTGAAATTTCATGATGTTTCTAAGGATGAGTGTGAACAAGGTCCACCAGTGATTAAAGCCAACATTGATGTCATTTTCTTGTGGTGATTTAGATGAATTAAATTAACCTGCAATGAACAACTTAGATTCTCTATAGCAAGTCAAGACAAATAATGGTGATGGGATAAACGTCCTTTAAATTAAATATGTAGGCGCACCTACATAGATAGTTTTAAATAGGTCACAGCAAAATTGTGTTTTTGATCCTGATGCTACTACATATTGCATAAGCTAAAGCTAGATTGTCTCTAAAACTGTGTTTCTACAGCATGAAACGCATTTGTATAACTTCTCTATACTCCTACAATAAACTAGAGGATCTATACAAGAGTCCTTAAAATCAAAGGAATGATTTCACCGCTTTGAAAATACCACCAAGACTAGCATGGACATGGAGACTACAATTTTGAATCCAGAGGTGTCCCAGAAGTTCTGGTTTTGCTTTTCTGCATCCGCAACTCTCTGTTGCTTTCCTGCTAATTGATCTTTCAATTCTTTAATAGCTTTGTCCCGTCTCTCTCCCATCTGCTCATAAAACACAGAACGAAACATGTGATTTAACTAGAACATTGTTAAACAGATGACATATAAGGAGGGTTATATGATGAAGGTAAATGATAGCATGATAGTATGAATCAACCAATCGTGGAATCAATGAAAAATTCTGAATAATGGTCTAGTAATAGATGAAAAATCAAATCTTGTGTGTCCTCGTGTTTCCTATTTCAATGCATAAATGATTGTCATCATCAAAAAAAAACATAAATTATTGTCCGGAAAATAAAGATCAACAATCATCGAAATTTCAAAAGGCGGGCACTAAATGAACCCAACTCACTGTAATTAAGAAGATTTAAGCATTTTCTAAATGAAAAACATGAGTGCAATAGATAGAGTTACCCGTTGGAGTTTGCGTGTTTGCGAACGAGCTTCCTGCAGACAGAAGTCCAATTTTAACACCCTCTTTTTCAGATCCTGATCAGCACGTCGCTGTTTCTCCAACTGTGTTTTAAACCCGTCAATCAACTTAAATAGATTAGCCATGACCTCAATTATAGGAAAGAAAGTGCTACTAAATGAATGAGTAATTACTCAGGCAACCCAAGACGGCAATACCTGTGACTCTAATTCTTTAGTCTTGAGCTTCCAATGAGCAGACATGATCTTAATTTCATCCTTAAGTTTAACTATTTCATCATCCTTAACAATCAATAACTTATTCATCTTCTCTAAATTCTTAGGAGAAACCTCGTCCAATATTTTTTGTAATTCGTAACCCTTGTTCTCTCTAGCTTTTGCAAGAGCCTCCATAATATCACGCTCAATTCTAAAAACTTCATCTTTCAATTGCTCTTGTGAAGATTCCCTTGCCTGAAGATCCTTCTGCAAATTATCAAGCTGCTCACCTAGACTAATTACGCGTTCCTCATGCTCTCTTAGTGAACTATTTTTCTCATCTAATTCTCTTTGAAGTTCTAAACATTGGAATTTCGCTGATTGAGCTGATGCAGCACTTGAATCTGCTGTTGCTCTAGTTACTACAAGCTGTGTTCTAAGATCGTCCAACTCCTTTATGTGCTGTATCAAGATTAGAACATATGAGTAAATGACACTGAGATTACTTCCTGTACTAAATAAACATATTTTAGGGATAATTTTCTTTCGAATTGATGTTGCAACTTGCGATAAAACATAGATTTTTGGAAACTCTTACTCGGAATCTAATGAGTTCTGAAGGACTACACTTTGTAAAGTAACATAAAATCTTGCGGACTAATTATATGCATTCTTCAATTATGAAATAAAATCTAAGGGAATATGGTAGACCTACAACTAGGACTTGTTCAAGCAACAAGTCAATATGCCAGCCTGCTAAACCTACTCTGATTCAAAAGATTTGGAACACATAAGGATCAAATCGAACTATAGATTCGGGACAGACAATACCAAGATATAATCCTAAATTGTACTTGGTAAAAAAAACTTTATTAACAAAGAATGTGCTTACGATCATGAAGTTACTATGAATCATAATGTCCTGGTAATGGTGAGAATGATTTTTCATATTTTCCTTCATTAAAGATACCTACAATTGTTGCAATCTATTCTTTAATGTATAACTGGTTTTCCAAAAATTCATTACATCGTCGAGAATCTGGAGTAGTACACCGATAAGATGCAATGCTTACGTCACAATCAAATTCATGATACAAAAGCATTTAATGTGTAAGATAAGATTGTTGCCAGATGCTCATTCATAAATATGTACCGTCCCTATTCCCTATTGAATATGCCCACATGACTTCCCTTCCATATTGCAGTACAATTTAATTTGTGCAGGTTATAACAGTGCAAAGTTGATAAGTTACTTTAATAATAGTGAAGGAACTTATAAAATTTGAATTCTTGCAGCATCAAATGCAATTGGATAGCTCGGTGCAAATCTATACACATAGGCTTCATTTAGATATAGGAAGTTGTCAAATTACCAACGCTCTGGCACGGGAAGGGTCGTTTGAAATTGACCATTGGTTATTAGTATTTAATAATTCCGTGAGCTTTTGTGCATCTAAAATTAATTGGCTGCCGTGAAAGACAAAACAGATACAAAATAATATGCGATGTTCCAACTTAAGACTTTTCTGCTACAAATGTAAATATCTCATTGGGGAGTAGAATGCAATTATCTTTGTGAGCATTCAGATTAGGATTTTTCTAACCCTAGTGAACTCCAAGATCTAACTCATCTAGTCACTCTTCTCTTCAAAGTCTAATGGGTTCTACTAATATCAAAGAGGACTACTGAAAAGTAAAAACATCCTAAAAGATGGTCATCTAGTGTTTTATATTTTACTTTTCAATGGGAAAAACCACGGAAAGCTAGCAAAAAATATATAATTTCATGAACATCATTTTAGCAAGAAAAGCAAGCAGAAGACAATAATAAAGAATCTTGAAAAACAAAAAAGTTGAAACATTTCAATTTTCAAATTAAACAGCTGTATAAGCCATGAAAAGAATAATAATAAAGTGAATGTAACTAAAACCTTCTCAGCCGAAGAGGTTGAAGCTTGAAGCTGCTCATTTTTTTCTTCCAATTTCTTCTGCATTCTACTAATTTCCAATTCCATAATCTTGGCATTTGTCTCTGCTTCCTATAGAAAAAAAAAATCTATAAATTGCAGGACCAAAAAAAATCAAATTTTCTAGACCCCACAGCCACAAGACTCCAAAAGTAGAAATGATTGATACTACTATCAAAGTAAAAAAAATTTTTAGCATGGCCAAAAAGAGAAAAACAAAAGAAACCAAAATTTTGTTTGTATATCAATACACAAAAAGACACAGAAAAATAATTCAAAACACACAAAAAAAAATCTTATACCTGTCTTGTTCGAGTTTCTTTAACATACGCTTGCTCCTGAGAAGCCAAACGATTCCGAAGCTCCTTCAACTCTGCAGCTAAAGACTCCACGTTTCGCCTAAAGCTTTGTTTTTTATCATTCAAACCTCTTAACAATGGATCAACATCTCTAGCTGCTGTAGACGCCAACTTAGAATTGCTTACAGAAGCTTGTTTCTCAGAAATTGACATGGGAAATCAACAACGTTTGACCAAATCTGTCAAATTGAACCTATCCTCTTTTGTACTATGTATACATCAAAATCAGATCCTATGAACCAGGGACCAACACTTCAAAATTCAAAGTCCTTGAAATGAAAGCAATCATAATATATACTTGATACTTGATTCCCTACATGTGAATATGGTAGTTGAACATTTAATTTAATCAGAACTCAACCATGATAAAAAAATGAAATTAAAAAAAAAACTAAAATAATTAGTAAAATTTAAAAAAATAATAATAATAATATCATAAAAGAAACTTAGAAAGTAGAGTACAATAACTTGTTTTCATGAAAAGGGTACTGAATAGTGGATTCAAATTCAAAGCAATCTTTTCGACTAAATTCAAATCAATTATTATTCTGATTACCAAGCATTTTTCTCTAGGAACATGATAATCAACACTAAGAATTAAAATTAAAATTAAAAATTTGAATTCCAATGAAATTTGGCCTAATTTTTTTCCCTGGCACAGATTGCATCAAACATTCACTTTCATCATAATTGAAAGAAGAGAGAGAAAGAAAGAACATATCTATCTGTCATTGTCAAATATTAAATCAAAATTATGATAAATCAATAACAATAAATATTCTCAAGAGAAATACGTGATGAAAAAATAAAAAATAAAAAAAGATCAATAAAACAAAATTAAAATTTGAAGAAGTTATAATAATAAACCTAGCAGATTAAACTAGAACTATATATACAATGAGAGAAACGAAGAAATTGCAGAGTTAGTTACCGGAGTCTGCGTTTTGATCTATGGTTTCTGCGTTTTGAAGCTGTGAATTTGATGAGAGAAGATGAAGATGAAGAAAGTGTAACGCAGGGTAGGTTGTTCAGATTTAGAAATTAAATTGAGTGTGAAGAGTATGAATCCTAGTGTCGTGCGAAACTTCTTCGTTTTTTATTTATTTTAATTTTAATTAATATTTTCTTGTTTTATATGTGAATGTTATTTGGTTCGGATTACGCGATATGTTCAAACCTTGGTTCGGGAATGATTAGTCCGGAATATAGAAAATATTGTTACTATTTTATGGTAGTTTATAATTTAACTAAAAAATAATAATTTACTTAATTAAATACTATGAAAAATACTCACAAAAGTGTGGATTTATTAGGTTAAATACTTTTGCCTTTTTTAACACTAGTAGTAAAAAAAAAAGAATATTCTGCAAAAAGATAGTTGATATTTTTAATGTTTAAGGGTAATGTTAACTTGTGCCCTTGGGGCACATGTTAAGTGATAAATATAGTAAAAAATTATTGGAAATTGTGTTTTAAATTTAATACAAGTTATGTTTTAAATTTAATACTCCCTCCATTCCTATATATAAGCAAATTTCTCACATTTCACACATACCAATAAACCTCATTAAAACTCAATGAATTATTTGACTTCTTTAAAAATTAGTTATGTATTGACAGCAATACCCTTTACTATTAATTAAAAAAAATATTTATAGTAATTATTAGCCACCCTAATAATAATTATCTGCATTAATTGGTGGTGTTTACTACACCATATTTTTATCTCTCTAACGTGTTTCTCAAATTTTTCTTCTTCTGCTTCTTTCAAAAAATGATGGAGTAGTTACTTTTATATATAATCATGTGACCTTTGGTATATCCTACTACCAGTACCCACTAAAGTGGCTTTTCCACTAAAAGACATTGAAAATTGTATAGATAGTTAATGTTATCGAAACAACAAAAACTAATGAATAATGAAGGGCAATATTGATAAAATAATATTATATATAATTAATATAGTCAAATTTGCTTATATTAAAGAACAAAAAATATTGTAATTTTTTGCTTATATATAGGAATGGAGGGAGTACAAGTTAAACATTAATGATTTTATTGCTTTTTTCAATACTTATTTTTTATTTGTGGATTTCTTAACATGTGCCCCAAGGGCACAAGTTAACATTACCCAATGTTTAATAGTAGTTGGTTCTAAAATAAAACTAAAACTAATTTTGTTTTTCTAATAAACTTAGGTTACGGAGAACGAAATTATTAGGTTCGGAGATTCCTTACCTCGGGCTCGTGGATCGGACAAAATTCAAAGCTACAGCCAGGATTGATTGGTGTTGACTGTGTGATTGATGAGCGCGGCAAATACAAATTTTGGCCTCCTCGAATTGTTTTGGAACACGTGGATTCCGCAAATTTTGGCTTCAGCACATTCACAATGGCCCTTTTTTCTATTATACTACTCTGGATTTAATGTAATGTATTGTGTGCGAAAATATATCAAACTCGTTTTGGATTTGAACTTTAACATTTTTAAAAAATATAAATCTCACTTTAACAAAAATCCAAAATAGTATATTGTTCTAAATTGATTGGTTGAGTTAGATTGAGATGAATGGCTTCTAAAACTGAAGAGGAGGTTAGTAAACTATGTGAAATGATGAAAAGTAGGTGATAGTTCTAATACATATAAATAATGTGACAGGTAAGTTTAAAAATCAAGAAGTGACTCATATTTAGATAAAATATGTATTTTTCTCTTTAATTTTAGAATTCTTATGTAAAAAAATAGAAGATTTAAATTACGACCGGACTAAAGTTATGGAGGCAATGCTCTGGTCTAGATCCTGTGATAATCCGATGAGGATTTTTGTTTGGACTTTAGGTGGTGCTCCAAATAGGACATCACTTAAATGTTTCATTTTTGTTCTAGGTTGTTAGCAAAGTCTAAAGAGAAAGGCCTAAATAATACAGTGAAAGCATTCAAGTACACAGAACATGAGCATGTTGTCTTCCTTGACAATAAGACAATAAGATATTCCATCCATAAAAGCTTTATCTACCGTCCAGATCCATCTGAAGGTTGGTCGTGATTCACACCTCACTCTATACTTTTAGTTGTCTACCATTTCCCATATATAAGAGGAATTGCGTCATTTCTCAGGGATTCAAATTCATTATCATTTTCACATCACTTTTCACTCGCATACCAACTTGGGCGTCTGAGTGTTAACCTTGTAGGTCAGCCTCTTCTCCTCCGTCGTAAAAGCGCAGGTCCACCGCAGAAAGTTCTGCTCCTCGGTTCATCGATCAATTCTAGCTCCTCATCGGAACATTGCGTCGTCTATGGGAATTAAAATATGATTTCATAAATCTTCACATTCAGATATCCATTTTTTGATCTCTTCGATCAAACCTCCTTCGATATATAAATCTAGATCTCTTTCCTCATAATTACATATCTCTATTTTTGGACATTCCTCCTCCAATTTCAACCTCATCTTAAACAGATGTTGTCCAGATTCATTAACAATAGTGGCTTACAAAGCCTCTCACTCCATCATTCAACGACAAGTTGTTGTCGCTGCTATTAAAGCTTCCAAAGATCCACTTCCTCTCCCTCAAATACTAGACAACCAAGTCTTTGTAGCATCATCGCCTAATGTTTCACATCAATATCTTATTCAACTTAGGGCAGGTTATAGAGTACTTTAGCATCTCTCATTCCTCTAGTCCTCTTGACAAATTCACCGGGTGAGTCTTCACATAAGCCCCCTACATGTAATGCCTGGAAAGGAAATGTTTATCGGCTTTCAAGTGTTACAAGCTAACCTTGGCGTGCAGGGAGCTAGCGGCCTGCTGAACAGTATTTACGACATGGTGCAATAGCAGAAATTTCATGCCTTGCCATAAAGAATATTAAGGATTTAAAAGAGCATACAACACGGCATAACATCAACACTTGAGAGGAAGCCTTGAGGTCACTGAGTAGCCGACAATATCATAGAAAAATAACCCATCCCTCTAATCTCAAAGAGGAAAACGATAGTCATACTATACCAAAAGTATGGCGTCTCCCTATTAAAGAAAGATATGAAGAAGATGTTCCACTCTCAGAGCAAAAAAGAAACCCATGTTCGCTTGTATCCTAAATAGTAGGGTTTCGAGATCACTAGAGAAGTTACCAAATCTTCAAAGCTATAAAGGGACCAGGGATTCAGACGAACACATTAAGCACGTGGATGATTGACTAGACTACTACCTCTCCCATAAGGCTATAAAGTTTGAGCTCTTTTGCATTAACTTTGATCGGGTCAGTGATGGATTGGTTTATGTCCCTCTCTAATGGAAGCATACAATCTTGAATAAATTTATGTAATACTTTCACAGGCCATTTCACCGCTCATAAGAGGAAACCTGTAACACCCCCGTTCTATACCCCCAACTAAACAATTAAATCATTTAGGCATTTAATAAAAATTTCATCAGAGTATAAATTAACACATGGTATAAAAGAGGCACGTCACATTATCCAGGAAATTCAAAACACATACAACACCTGCTCATAAAGATATGCAACAAAGGGTAAATCACCACAAAGGAACTTAGTCCTTAAAACCCACATATCAATATTTAGAATAAAAGCGGAAACATCTAAACATTGAATCACTTCATTCATATAAACATTATATACATCAACAATTTAATTCAAGTCATGAGTCATGTTTACAAAACATTCACAACAGATACATACACAAATGTATCACAAAAGAATCAAAACAATTCCTAACTACCTGGTGCTACATATTAGAGCCAACCAACCAAAAAGAATGAAGTCACGCTTCATAAAAGACCTCCAGCAAACCTATTATGCAATGCCTCATAAAGCATCATAAAACAGCAGAAGGGTGAGAAACATTATCATAACAAATAATGCATATAATCATATATCTATATACACCAACATAGAATACACATAACATATTTCTCACCGCAACTCATCACAATTCAATCATATATACTTCGCAACATATATATATATATATATATATATATATATATATATATATATATATATATATATATATATATATATATATATATATATATATATATATATATATATATATATATATAATTCACCAAGCATATCCGTCATGCATATATTCACCAGTCATTCACATACTTCATAATTCACA